GCAACTTAATTATCATAAAAAATACACTGAGATTTATTGCCAAGTAGGTTTCACTTAAATAGGCCATATTATGCTTTTTGGGGTTTTCCCTTTCCTATAGAGTTTGATATAGGTTTTTGTGCAAACGCTGAAATACCAAATTTCACAAAAGTGTGGGGTTTCTCTCCCACACATAGTGACCTTACTATGTAACACTCTAAGCGGCAGGGGTCTCTAAGCAGTTGACCTATCAGAACAGATCTGGCCAGCTGGCCAATCAGAGCAGACTGGGCTCTGGTTTCAGACAGAGGGTGAAAAGAGGTGCTGCAGCACAGGCAGTGTGAGAAAAATAAAGAGCTCTTTGAACATTAAATGGGGATATGTCACAATAGAGACACTAAATACAATTAGGACCTGAAAATTAGCAGAATAGGGCTCCTTTAAATGTGCCCTTAGAGTGACAGAGAGAAAGATTAACACCTGGCTAGGAAACGGAAGTCTTCACAATTGAATCTGTTGACACTGTCTCGTGTTGTGTTTCACGTTAGGTTAATCAAACTTCATCTAATCGGTTGGATTAGACTTCAGAATGAAAACACAACACTTTGGATGACCCCACCCCCACCCCTTCACCCTTATCTGCGGTGGACAATACATTATTGGCTTTCTGAAACCAAAGTGTTTTTCACTGCATCCGGGTCACCTGAAGTTCACCGGTCATTATGTAAAAACTGCATGACACAAACAATTAAAGTATATTCTCACTTAGACCCACAATGGCTACACGTAAGCAGTTGAAAGTCCACTAGCTCATGGGCGTTCCATATTCAGTGTTTCATGTTCAGTGTCATGCTAAGAAATCATATAATAAATGTCTTAATGTGTCTTGTTTTACCCTTTGACATGTTGTTCACAAACAAACAAGTTTTTGATTTGCTTTCTATTGCGCCTTTGTGGTTTGTAGAACAGTGTATTGTCCTGCACATTTTACTCCCAAATTAAATTGCATGCTCCTAGTTTAAGAGAAATGAGCACTTCCCATTCTTCCCCCCAAGGCTACGTGTCTGCGAGGACGGAGCTAGTTTCAGAGTCATATTTTACCGTTATGGCCTTTGACCCCTGTCAGGGAACCATGTGCCTGGGTCATGTTTTAGAACAGGCACATTGATATCCGTCTGCGTCTCAGGCCCAGGTCAGCGGAGTTCACGAGAGGGGGTGGGGGAGCGCTTGTTAACACATAGCAGAGCCTTTTTCTCACTGGCAGAGGAGGAGACGAGAATGGCAACACATTGGTTGGCTGGTTGGTTGGCTGGAAAAATTCCATGGCGTGTTGTTTTCATGCATTCTTCAAACAGGCTCTGGTGAAAATGATAAAGGATGTCACACGAAAAACCTTTTTGTTGATCTTTCTGCAGCTTTTGCTGACGTTTATCTGTCTTTTTCTCATGGCGAGTGCTCTTCAATCAATCAAGAAATATTCTGTGTATTTGCTTTCTATTTTCTTTCACCTTACAACGTGAGGTTGGGCGCAGAGCCTTGCAGTGAAAACAGTTGCAAGCTCCCCTGTTAGCTTGCGCCTCTTAGCACAACTGTTATCTGATTGGTTGGGCTAAAAGGAAAGCGGCAATCAATGTCAATGTTGAAATTATTTGAATCTTAAGCGCAGCACTTGGTGAGAACATTTTAAGTGGTGCTGGATGGCATGGGTACCAAGGCACGTCAACATCAGCACAGTGCCATACTGCTTGTCATGTGAAGGCTGCTTAACCCTATGACATCTCCTTGACATCATCAGGGTTTATTTAAGGGTCGGCTTGGAGACCTCCAATTTAAAAGAAACTTTGAGTGTGGACTTTGGAAGAAGTGGGAATATACATGTCTAGGGCAAGAGATTGGTCCGGTTTGCATCCAAGTGTAACCCAGATGTTATCCGATTTTCCCAAAAATCTGAGTCAATGCTCGTTTTAATCCACTTATATTACTAGATTAATAGGAGTTCATTGAGATATGTAGTAGGTAGCACCAAAGATCTGGAAAAATAATTATACCATTGAAGAGCCACAATGTAGTTAAAATAGTAGAAATATTAAAATCTGAATGGAACCATATTTGTGTTGGTGTTTGTGTAATGAGGGGATTTTTTCTTCATCTATTCCGCTTCCAAGCTTCAGTGGATTTTACATACAACTTTTTCCTATCAACACCATCCGTCCACCCCCACCACGCATAAAACGATTGTTTTTTTACCATTCTTTTTCATTTGTCTCTTAAAAGCCCAGCAACATTGTGGAAGTGCAATAACAAATACTGGCATGCCTGTTTAATTGCTTTGACAATAACCCCTCATCTCTGTAATGAACAGCAATAACAGACACATTTTTGCATGCCAATTGAACTGATATTTTTTCGGGTAATTATTTATGTCGTGTTGCAACAAGAATTATAACTTCCTTTCAGAAAACAAACAAAGTGACAGATATTTGATCTGCAAATGGAACCAGAAGCAACATGTTTGTGTAGTAGACGCTTAAATGTTCAGCTATCTACCACACAGCAGCAGTTTGTGTGTTACACATCTGCTCTTGGTTGTCTGCTCTTGCTCTGCAGCTAACCTGACATTAAAGATGCTGCAGCGATACGAGCATGGGAAAAGACTGACTGATCAAATCTATGCACTTCTTGCAAGCAAATAAACAACTAAACCAGGAAATCAGAGGTTAATTTTTTCTGACAAGGCTCTGTACTAACTGACAGTTCGATCTCTGCTTAAAAACTTTTCTTTCAAAAGGATGTGAAGATGAACAAACCACAGAAACTTGGGCCACTAAAGATAACCGCAGGGGAAAAACATCTTGAGTGAAAACATTAACTAGAAATAGACCTCTTTGTTGCCATAGCCACCTGAACAGCTGTAATTTAGACCTGTTGAGCTGCACTGCACATTTATTTAACAGGGGAAAATTCTGTCTGAGCTTTTCTGTTCGACAACATGTTCATTAGACCTAATATCAGGGAAAATTGCTGTTTTTCTCGTAAATACTTGTTTTTATGTGTAGGTGATAATTCTTGCAGTCATTTAAGATTTTTTATATAGATTTAGGAGTAATAAACACATCGTTTTTTTTTACTGTTACGTGTGTTGGATGTTGTTAAATATGACCTATCCATAGGAATGTGATACTATACAATTAGTTTGACAGAATTGCAGAGTCAATATAACAAGATTGAAAATATGCACGCTGTTTATAAAGGGGCGTATGGTAATAATGACTATATGTTTGAAAATTCAAGGCAATCAATGCATTCTTAATGTTTATTTCAGTGACAAACATGCTCCTAAGTAAAGTCACAATTACTGTGCTCCTGCTTCTTCCTCCCACTGAATGGTCTAACCTGTGTTTGTTTAGTGAGCCTCACCGAGAGAGTGAAAGGTGAAGCCAACAGATGGTGATTCTACACCTTCAAAAGCAAGTGCAAAACACAGTCAAAACTGAGACTGAATCAGGGAGGTGAAATTAACGATAATTTCCAGAATTCATTGTTCTTGAAAAAAAACCTTCATAATTGGTTTTAAATTGTCTAATATAGGTTTCATTTCTGTACGGGGGAATGCTGGTTAAGAGGGCATCAGGGTATGAGCTTCAATTCCTGCATTCTAACACCAAATTCATACGCCAGGCTACAATTCAAAACATCAAAAAATAATCAAATATAGTGGCTTTCATGAAAAATGTATTGCATTCATATATTTTATGTTATCCCTTCGCAAATGGAGACAAGATTTACACTTCCTTCCAATTTTCTGTCCTTTATTTGGGAAAGTAAAACCTTGCTGGCACCTTTTCACCCTAGTAATGCATTTATTCATTTCAATTTGTTTATACATTTCCAGACTTTAATAGCTTTGTGTTTAAGCAAGATTGATGCCCAAGTTCAGAATTTGCTGCACTCAAAACATATCTGTGTTCTTCGAGAAGCTGTATATTTTTGAGAAAAAAGTAATATTACGAAAATAAGGTTGTCATTTTGTAAGAATAAAATCACAATATTTGCTGTGCAGAGTCAAGCTTCTGCTTAGGTATGGCAACACCACTTGGACAAAACACGCGTAGAACCGCAGTAAACCGTAATACTGGTAGTAAATATAATGGCAAGCTTTTAAGTTTATCGATGATTATTAACACATTTGTGAATGATTATTTAGGAAAGGCGTGTGTGGTTGTCCGGCTTATAGCAAAGCATTTTTATTTTTTTTATTTATCAATATATTGCAATATGATCACAGGCACTCAGCTAAAGAATAAGCCGGCCAACCGTATTACAAACTATTAAACTGAGGTTATGTACCAATGAACAGGTTACAGAATAGTAGCATTTCATTACACACACATTCATTAACATACAGAAGTCTGTCTCAACAGTGGTTCTTTATTCAGAGAGAGTTATCCAGGAACTTCTTGTCAGCTGTTCATTAAAAAGAAGCACGTTTCTAACTTTTTGACTTCTTCCTCATTAAGTATACAACTGGGATTGTGTGTTAACCCGATGAGTAAACAGCTGGGACGGTGGGACAGGAAGTGGTGGGAACACCAGACGAGTGCAAGTGAGCTTTTCGGAGAGTTGAGGACTTAATGTACCCTTACACACATTGCTCACTATATCACAATCGCATGACCTTAAACCTAGGATGTCATACTGCCAGATCTTCAACGCGAACTTGTATAACATAAAAAAAGCAATCAAATAAATGTGTTGCAGTTAAAGTATCAGTTATGTATTATGGAGTAGGATACCTGTAAAAGTATATAAAATAAAACCTTTTTTAAGTTAGCTCCACTTTTAGCAGCTGCAACATTTCAATGGTGAACACATTAATGGATCACTAATTATAATCCAGTTATATTTATTATTATGAAATTGGCCATTCTGAATAATGCATTCTTTTTGTTTTGGTACTCTAAGAATGTGTGATGCTAATATTATTGCACATTAACGTGTACTACATGTAACAGAGTATTCCTTCACTGTAGTACAACTACTATAAGTAAAAAAACTCAGTATTTCTTACCATCTTTGCTTACAGTTAAATCCGCATAGCAATTTAAACTGGCTGCTAAACTGAAGCTAGTAAGACGAAGTGGGTAGATGTTAAAGAAGAAGAAAACAAATAACTAAAACAGGAATATTATATTTCAAAATACTAGAAGATAATATAACTTTTCTCAAGTCTTCGTTGCACCTCAGGCAGGTTTACAGCGACAACATGCTCTCATATTCCCCACGGTATTTATAACTCGGTCAGCTGACCTTGCACTTGGACCCTTCCACAACACGGGAAGATTATTTAACTACGACACAAACTAAAAAACTACTTACACTTCGGTTATATTCCATCCCAACCCTATACAAAAGTGTGAAAAGCAGTTGTTAATGAGCAGATAAATGTTGTTGTGCACAATATTAACGATATCAGGGTGGAAATGACACAGATGTGGATAAGTAGCTCCCCCGCCTAGCAGATAATGGTACGGTCCTCTGTAGAAATTCCGAGAATTGAGCCCCTGTGTTTCTTAGAACAGGATTCTCAGAACTGGTGATGCACAGAGTTTCGAGGAAACTTTTACAAGGTGACTTTTTTTTCCTTCCTTTTTCTCAGCATTAGGTCAGAAGTGTTGTGAAGTACAAGTTGCTCTTGTGGTTGCTCCTGGGCATGATTATTTTTCATAATTTATATATTGAAAATGTTGTGATATCTTTAGACAGAAGTGAACTAACAGATTTAATGTATGACTTTGACAGCTGCACTGCTTTTGACTGTTTTAAACGGAAGTGTGACTTGTTTAGGTTGTTTAATTTAGTCAATTACATTAATAGCTGCCGTTACACTTAAAAACAAACAGCAGCCTCGTGTCGTGAACCTTTAACTAACACAGCAGTTTGAGTTTTTATCCATATTTGAGTATGTATACCTTTTTTATAGTTGTGTTTGGTGCAGCATTTGGAAATAGAGGCTGCAAAAGTGTCGCAACAGGACTAGTCGGGCTGGTTTTGTCTAATTTTTTCTGCGCATTTTCTCATGTCTTGAAACAATCTTTTCATCTCACCGAGTGTTTAATATGCAAAACCGATGAATTTCCCTTATTAGTTTCCGTCGTGAAAATACCATTTGAGACACATAATTAAAGCCGTCCCCTGACTTAACCCCGTTTCTAAACTTGTGCTGGCCTGCTCGGTGGCTCGCTGCCGAAAGAAGTTAAGCAGCAACAACTAACCACTCCTTGGAATCACAACCTGCCAAAACACACCGTCGCAGTTTAGTTTCTCCCCCTGATAACTCACGGTTCGTTTGGCGGGAGAAGAGTAAATGTATTAGTGGGTTAATTTAGATGAGTTGTACTTATACAGGGGGAACAGGAAACCTCTCTGTGTACTCGCAATCTAATCTGAGCAGTCAGGACGGAATGTGCTCAACGTCAAACACGTTTACAACACACAGGCTGCCAGCACTGCGCTGCTACATGCGGGAGAACCGCAGAGTACACATGGGGACACTGTTATCAAACTGGTTATCCTAAAAAGAAGTCCGCCATTAAGCTATACTTTGTTTTATTATTATTTATGTCAGTATTTTACTTCGCTTCGAAATGATAGTCACAGTTTTTTTCGCAAATCCATTGCGTCTTTGTTCTTGTTTTTAATTAAAATATTAAGTGAAACTCCCTTCGACTTTTCTCTCTACAATGGCGCCTCTCTCTGATGAGGCGCTGTCAGGACACTTGTTAGCTTCAAAGCTTGTTTTGATGTCAGTCCTTGAAGGCATCTGGCTGCTGTTGCACACGAATGAGCCAGAGGTGATGACACATGACAAAAGCGGTTGTTATTATTATATTTAATGAATGTTCATTCGTGTATAATTGACGCTTTATTACAAAAACAGATTTTGGTGAGGCAAATTTGTGGTTATTAACATTCTTTACTCAGTGTAGTAGAATATGCAAAGTGAACGTTTTTGTATTGTTCGTCTATTATGTTAAAGAAACTTGAAATTCAAAATGTTACTGAAAAATAATAATTGGCATCAACATATATTTCAAGTCGAAAAATAATTACTTACAATGGCTAATTTTAGAATACAAAATAGTATTGTATTCTAATTATTGCTGCATCAATGTCTTCATCACTTTAATGTTGCAGCTTAAATACTGCTGTGTAGGCTATATTGTGAAATTCACTAATAGATCATCATTTGTTGATCATACGTTGTGGTATTCATCTGAATAATTAATGTATGGAGCACAATATCTGCTTAGAATTGCAGCTGAGTAGAATAATAAATTAGCGAGAATTTGAAATACTCAAGTAAAGTACCAGTAACTAAAACATATACTTAAGTACAGCACTTGAGTGAAAGTACTTAGTTACTGTGCACTGACTGTTCTGTGAGGAAATACTGAAGGCTGGGGTTTACTATGATATTGACATTTCTTGCAAATGTTAAATGGCTCAGCACGCCATCTACTGTTTGAAGTCAGTACTGAAGGCCAAAGCTGACAGAGTGAAAATAAACAAAACTAACTCCACAACATTTTAACATTTCAGAATAAGAAGCAATGGGTAAATTACACTTTAAGTAAAATTACTTTTGTCTGAGAATCTGCTTGAGTGATGCCCATGTAGGGGCCAATTTAACCGCATTGTTATTCATCTACCCAGAACACTTTCAGCAACTCACTCTCAGTTTATGATTTTCGCCCTCCATCAGATTTCGACAGCATGGCCATGACTGCTGATGGCTGCATTCAATTCACACGCCATGCGGGTGACGTCCTGCTCAACTTCAACCGCCTCCGCAGCCGCAACATCCTGACTGATGTCGCCATACAGGTGGACGGACAGCATTTTCACGCTCACAAGGCCATCTTGGTAGCCTGCAGGTATGCACTATCAGATCTGACACAGACAGCATGAGTACCTATGGACTGTACTCAATAAAGGGCTTTTTCTTGGAGCTTATATTTTAATTCAGTCGATCACAAGGTGTGTTTCCTTCCGCCTGTCTTTTATGTTAAATGTGTGATGTATTTGAAGAACTGCTGCTCCTGACACCGCCGCCACACCATCTAATTTCACAACTTGAATAACACTGAACCACCTTTTCTTTTATTATCTTACAGTGGCTTCTTTTACTCTGTCTTCATGGACCCCAAGAATGCCAACCTAAGTGCCATAGGCTTGGACCCCAAAGTGGACGCCAAGGGTTTCTCCATCCTGCTGGACTTCATGTACACGTCCTGTCTGGACCTGAAGGACAGTCTGGTACAGGCCACCATGAGCACAGCCATCTACCTCCAGATGGAGCACGTGGCCGACACCTGCCTCAGGTTCATCCAGTCCAGGTACATGAGTAAAAGAATGTGGCACACTGCAATATCTCCGTAAATGAACGAGTTGAAGTTAAACTTACTTTTCAAGCGGCGAAACAAATAAATAAAACTGAAGATGTAACAAAAAAAAGTGAGCGAATCTTACGCAGGGGAATTTATCCAATGTCCAGGCAACAAAGTTGTTTTGTAAAATGTATTACCGACAATCCAATATCCAACATATATATAACTGTGGTCTCAACGTTGGCTTTTCCTGTGTTTTCCCTGGTAAATAACGATTTGCTCATTTTGGTGCACCAATCCCACCACCACCTGTCTCCAATTATTTTTATCACCTGGGTCCAAATCACACGGTGCCCAAAACCGCCTTCAAAATAAAAGCATAAAGAATCACTTTACTTAACTAAAATAATTATAATAAATAATAATACATTTAGAATAAAGAAAAACAGCAAGAAAATAAATGTTTAACTATTCAATACTATAAATCAGGGGTCGGCAACAGGCGGACCACGGTCCGGATCCGGACCCAGACGCCGACCTATACGGACCCGGACCTATAATCAATACATTAATAGGGGATTTCAATTTTGACACGGCGATTCTATTTTAACCGCCGCCGACAGGGGGCGAAAGAGACGAGTGAGTGATACAGGGAGAGAAACACAGAAGAAGATGAGGAGCAGCGGAGAGGAAAGTGATGAGAAATAAATGAATAGGCGGATCAGATGGAGGAAGCGGAGAGGAGACCGTGAACAGGCGTGCTAGCGCAGGGAGGACAAATAATCTAAACATCGCGCGCTCTCCCTCCAAGAAGAGGAAAGTGGACAGTGAGAACAGAGCTTTACCCGAGTGACTCATCTCATGTTCTCTGGCCC